CCTGCACTTTAATACGAAAGTATAGTCTCCTCAACAATGTATGAATACGTACGAAAAGCAAAAATATGCCCACCTAAGAAAAAACTAGCGATATAAACCTGGATCCATTCAGCCGTCTTTTGATGCTTTTTCCTCTAGAGGATCTTTTATTGACGTCTATTTGCAAAAAATTCATCTATAAATGACAAATAGTCTAAAATTAATCGGTGAAGTGGAAAGTGATATAGTGTTCAAAGTATTACGCTCACCATAAATGGTCTTAAAGTTTTTTTACCTCGTTCTCTCAACTTGATCTTTTTTCATTGAGAACAAGATAAACTTACCTTAAAAGTAGTCTGGCGCCATTTTCCCAATTTGGTAGTGTTGTCAGAGGGACTTGGTTCCACGCAACTTGTCTGAAGACCTCAACAATAGTAGTTATCAACTTTCCCAGTGTTGGAACGCGAGAATTATGACAACTAGTCTGGCAGAGGACTTCAGACAAGGTGTGTTCAACTAAGTCGCCCTGACAACAAGACCAAGTTGCGAAAACGAGGTCAACCCACTTTTAGTACCAGCAGGACTGCCGAAGATTATGGCAAAAATGGAATTGAATATGGAAAAATCTCTACAAAACTGCTTAAAATGGAGCCCTGTTTGTCTTCATACGCCTGAGTGCATAGTCGTGATATGCCGTTAAAATTCGAGTCTCCGGTATGCCAAAAACGTCAACGCAGAGGATGCCACTGTCACGACCGACATGCCCGAATCAGGCTGGAGATGGGCATTAAAGAAAGCTGTATATGTGTGTGGGTGTGCTTGTGTGTTCTCGTTGCATTTAGTGATCTTTCTGCCCAGGGCATGAGACGCAGGAGTATAATTTATTGCCCTAAACATAATGGGTACGTTTTTGGAAGCCTTAGAAGGATCCTTTAACAGTTGAGACAAGTGCAAACTACCGAATAAGCTTGCAGGTGCTCACATGTTATATGCCAGTTAACGGTTAGCACCGGTGATAATAGCTTCTTATGTCGCTTGGCGGCCAAGCCAAAGGCTTTTAAGGCTACGCGTTTGTGCGTATGTGGGTGTGTGTGTGTGCGTTGTATGGTGCTTGAACTACTTTTCATTCTGTATCTACCCGCCAAGCGCCTCAACCAGTTGTCGTGGGGTCGGCTACACACTTTGACAAGTCATAGTCTTTTCGTCCACACGAGCCACTCACGGTTGCTGTAGTATTGGTGCTAAAACCGCCCTGTCTCCAAACGTAGGTGAGAGCTTAACCGGCACTTTTCAGCCGTACCAACCTCAATCTCCCTATGGTCACCAAAGTGGCCCAGAGGATAGTTCTGTAATAATTGTGCCTCCCCGTCATAGACCTCTTCTCTCTCCCATTCATATGTGCTGTAGAAAAAAATGCATATACATACGAATGCAGGCCTAAACACATGCTCTCATAGCCGCATCTACAGACGTGCATTTACACACACACACACACACACTCACACGTGCCATAAGTCTGACAAAATAGTAACGCAGGCTGCTTCAGGAGTAGGATTTAGAGTCCGACCCCTGCAGGTGGGAGGACTTGCTGGCAGGTCAAGGAAAGCCTATGTGAAGGAAACACGATAGTTGCTGAGGCATAACCGATAAAAGCCGACTCTGTCACTAGGCCACTGCGAACAGAGTCGCAATGGGCATCGCGTTTTGAAGGATGGGTCAAACCGGCTGAAGCGAAGGGTGCTGGGTCGTCAGGGTCGTCAGGGTCGGGCCTTAGAATGAGCAAAGTGTAGGTTTATTGTCAAGCCCTGTGCCAGGGCACACTTAACCGGGACGGTCGGGGAGTACATCAAACTAGTTAATGGTGTCGATATGTTTACTACACTTTGTGCATCTTTGCCCGACTGTCAGTGTGTCCGTGAGCGTAATTACGAGACCAGTCATGTGTGAAAACACGCCCCTCAGCCAATTAGACGTCATCGGCAGGGCTACCCAGTCATGGAGTTGGCCATTTGCAGAGCCATTCGGCCACATTATCAGAACAGACACTGATTTGTAGGGACTAAGAGATTGACAGAGAGAGAGAGAGAGAGAGATAGAGCCTCCCTCCTGCTTGGTCCAACCGGCGTCTGTGCCTGTGGCCCGTGTAGTTGTGCAGAAGAGTCTGCCAGGACAATACGACGGTGGGACAAGTCTTTTCTGGAAGACTTTTTCATTTCATCCTGCCTCATATTGCCTGTACCGATGACGGCAGCTGGGACCCCGCCAATGCCGGTAGCCCCTGCTCGGACGACTGTCCAGAAGAGATGAAGAGAAGCTGAGTCTCGAGGACTCCTAGAATAATCGTTGCTATGGCGGTAGTATACTGTCACAAATGTATCATGTTGTCATTATGATCTCGAAGAAATTACCTTTCGGTGCACCCTGCCATGATAATTTCCTCAGTCGAACCCCGGACTCGGTTCGGGCATCGTGCGTAAGCGTCCAAGAGACAAGTCTCTCTAAGGCGGTGCAACTTTGGGCCAGAAATAGAAGAGCTGCGATATCTGCAAAATGAATGGAAAGGCACCAAATAATTTAATAAATATGTATAATTAATAGATTGTGTTAATCAATTTAATAACTTTAGTAAATTCTTGTAGCTATATCTTTCGTTTCGTTTGAGAAAGCGGGTGAAAGGGAATTTCATAAATTGGTTCCATCTCAAGTGTAAATGCGGGTCCATCCGACAACGTGCCTGCAGATCGTCATGAATTCGTTTTTTATCGTTCCGTTACAGACCTTGTCAGAGTGGGAAGGCATCATTTACCAAATTGAAGATGTGAAGACCAAGATGTTGTGGCCTCGGGTATGGT